CGAGACCTGATCTGGTTTTAGCCCCAGACGGAGCAGCATGAGGGGTCACTCTCCACCCAATGGGGGCTGCTCTGTGTGTGACTGGGACCCTCCTTCCCTCAGGCAGCACCCAGAGTAGTCACAAATCTAAATTTAATTTCCCACCATCACCACCACCTAGGGTGACCAGACAGCAAATGTGAAAAATCGGGACAGGGGGTAGGGGGTAATAAGAGCCCATATAAGAAAAAGACCCAAAAATCGGTACTGTCCCTATAAAATCGGGACATCTGGTCACCCTACCACCACCCAGCCCTGCCACTGACACGGGCAACAGGGAGCCCTGGGTGACGCACATTAACAGGGGCAGGGTGGGGGATGGAGCCAGAAGATCCCATGGCACTTGGGGTTGCGGGGAAGCAGCAGAGGAGGGGCAGGTGATTGACTGTTGGGGGTTGGGGGCTGGGTTTGGTTAATTATAAATAATTTGGGGGAAGGGGGCACAGTCTGCAGAGGATATTACATCAATATTTAATGCGTAGTTGGGAGTTTAAGGGATCCAGCCCACTGGCCCGTTAGCAGCCAGGCAACACCATCCCCCATGTTCTGTTCTGTTCTATTCAGTCCTTACAGCCCCTCATCCCCGCAGGGTCCCAGTGCATCTAACCAGGCACCAGCCACACAACTCACATTCATCCCCTGGGATTCTCTCCTGCTCCCTTCTCTCCCCAGTGCCAGGGATTTTCACTCTGTGTATCCGTTGGTGGATGTGGTGCCTGCCGTGCTCTGTGCGCTGGTGACTGGGGACAGGTCTGACACGTCCCCTGGCACTGGGAACCCAGCGTGGGGATGTTTGGGGGGTTCTCAGCTCCTGCGGGAGTTTGTCCCACAGCCTGGGAGCGGCTCCTCGGCAGCCTGGCTGATCCCGATCAGCAGCTCTGTGAGTGCAGGGACCCCACTCCCGCTCCATGGCTTTGACTCCATCCTGGGCTTCCCCTCCACAGCACCTTCCCAGCACATGTCCCTGGTCTGCACTGACCTTTCTGCTGCTGGACTCCCACTGGGGCCATGGGAAATGGCAGGGGAGGGGCCAGCACAACCCGCTCTGTCCCTGCGTGGTCCCAATTCCCAATTCTGTTCATTGTCAGTCAGCCAGACCAGGAATTAAAGCCAGGAAACCAAAAATAAAGTACCATGGATCCCAATGACATCTCTATTGGGTCTGTGAAATGACGGGGTTAATGTCACACCCAGCAGCAGCACCTCAGCACACAAGGGGGATACACAGAGAGAAACACAAAGGAAAGTGAATGTCTGTGAGGATCTCATGATACCCATAGTGTGTGTGGGCTGCTAAATCAGCCGTGGCACTAGGTGTGTGCGATGAAGCCCTTTTAACACTGCAAAGCCAACCTGCTTCCAGCCTCCCCAGTCTGACCTCAGCACAACACTCGCCCAGCTCAGGCTCACCAGCTCCCTCCCCACAGACGGCACTGAGGGCGGGAGCTGCTGGGTACAGAGCAGAGCAAGGAGGGGTTAGGGGTTCTGGTTGTACAGGAAGGTGCCCAGGTGCAGGACGTGGAGTTGGGGAGGAGCCGTGTGGTCAGGTGAACATGTGGCGAGAACGGGAGATAAGCTGCCTGGCCTCCTTCCTGTGAGCAGGTCCCATTTACCCAGCCTGGGCCCATCACTCACACAGCCCTGGGGCTGGGCTCTCACTCCCCTTCCCCAGCTACCGAATCCCCTTCCCCAGCTCACGCCACACCTCATTGCACTGGGACCAGCTCCCCCACACGGCTGAGTCTGTAGCGCAGAGCATCCCATACAGCAGGGCCCTGGCACTCTCACTCCTGCCTCCGCGCTGGCCCCTGTGGCTGTTTCACTCCCCTCCACGGGCAGAGACTCCCGCAGGGCAGGAAATGCCGGGAGGTTCCCATCTCGGAGTCAGATAACACAGTGAATGGCCCTGAGAGGACCTGGGAAGCCCCCAAACCCACTCCCCCTATTGCGCAGACACAGCCCTGCCAGGCAACGCTGAGTGGGGCCCTATCAGTGCAGCAGATAAAGGCCTCTCTTCTGCTGGTCACTGTGTGTAAGAGGGATGTAAATTCCTCTATCAGGCCCTGGTCAGCATCCCAGTCACAGTCCCTCAGTGACACCACAGACAGATCTCTATCGCAGTGACTGGCTACAAGAGCTTCCTGAACCAACGCTTCTTCCCCAACGTCGCTGAGATCCAGGTCTCAGCACAGCTCCCAGAGGCTGCTCAAGGAGTGTTGTAGGGCTCCTGGGGTAATATTGCAGCAACAGTGAGACACTCAAACCCAGGAGGAAATGGGCAAAATTTGGCCCCATCCCAACTTTTAAATGGGGGATGGGTCATCCTGGGAAGTAGACACCAGAGGACGTGCAGGTAAATAGGTCAATAACAGTTCCCTGCAAAGCAGTGTGGGATAGCTATTGGAGGACTGCCAAAGTGGTGTGCAGCAGGATTGTGTGCACTCAAACAATAGACGGATGGAACTTTATTCGCAGCATGGGGATCCACTTTGCAAGAGGACTCCAGAGTTCACCATGAATGCAGAATTAGTGTGCTGGGAAGGATTGTGGTATCTGTGCACATACATTTTTAAATCAAATTAACTCAACTTAATCCAGTTTAACCCCCCTGTGTGGACAAGTAGGATGGCCACTGACACATCCCCAAACTACTGGACATTACAGAACTTCTGGAACAGGATGGGCCCACCCTCGTTGGCTTGACCCTGCCCCTGCCATCATGACTTCACAGGCACCACATGTGCAAAGTCACACTGTAGAGAGGACACCGTGGGGACTCTGTTTTTTTAATTGATGTGAGAAAAAGAAAGGAAGGGTCATATCTTGATTACCAATTATATGTAGATAGAAAGTTAAAAATCAAATGACTTAATGCTGACAGAACTTCAAAGACTATTATATAATCTTGGGTGAGTTCACTTAAATATATTGCTTAATTAATTCTAT